TCAACTCTTTGTGTTACAACTATACAGGGAAAATTAGCATAATGTATACAAGTTAGCAAAATTTTACTATAATGTTACAAAATTGTAAAAGAACATTAGGAAACTTTCATGGATTGTGAGAAATGCAGGAGTTGTGACATTAGACATTAGTTGTTGGAAACCCACTCCACCCACTACCTCTCTTCCCCTTTTCAAGTTGATGCCGTCCTAACGCATCCTCTCCCACTTATAATTTGTGGACCATCCCACCCTGTGAAACTCTACTATAAACTAAAACAATCTCTTTCTGTTCCCTTTATTTTAATGGTGCACTAACCTTACTTCATCATACTGGTTGTTCCAAAAGGTTTCTATTACCCTTACTGTAACCAAGATCAAGGTTCCCAAATTTTATAATATTAACTCAACATTGTATCATGTATATTGGGATGTTTTTTCCAACACTATGTAAAGAAAAGAAAAGCCATCTTAGCGCTCGTATATTTGAAAATATTATTTATTATTATATTTTTATTTCGACAAACTAATATGTATCATCTGAATGTCTGGATCTTGCATTGATATTAGGGTTTCTCATTTCCCGGTTTTTTGCTTGTCCCGGGATTTCGGGGAAAAAAGTGAACTGTTTCCCGGATCCCGGGATATAATTAATTATTTTTTAAGATATAACAAATATCTTGAAATCGAATCATATAATTATTTTTCATTTTTAAAAGTACAGTAATTTAATACGTTCTGAAACCTCCAAAATCATATTAATAATGCTGTGTGAAATATATATTAAAATTATCTTTGAATTACTTAGAAATTTTCACAAATAGAAAAAATTTATTAAAGTTTGTTGGAAACTGCATACAACAACAACAACAACAACAACAACAACAAAAATGCTTTGAATTGAGTTGGAAATTTAAAAAAAAAAATTAGATCAACTTCTAACTTAAAAGATAACTTTCGTTTTTTAAATAAAACATAATACAAAATATTATTGTAAATTTTTATAAGATTTTGAAAACCAAAGATGGTCAATTCTCTGATCACTCAATCTGGTTATTATTTTAATAATGAAAGTCTCGCTGCCGAAAATGCCATTTGAAATTCAATGGATGTGGATGGAATGGTTTTTAATGCATTTAAGAAAAAACAAATGTTACGTGTTTTTTTCACTAGTAGCCTGGAAGATTTTCAGTTCGTTTTCGAGATGTGTTGCAGTACTTCTTTTGCTCTCAAGTATTCTTGATTTGTCTATCTCGGCTGCTTTAGCGAACATAATCCGTTCCAAAACTTTGTTCGTTATCCGAATTGTTCGTTAACCGATTATCGATTTACCATATGTTTTTATGGGAATTTGATTAATTCATTCCGGAGACTCCAAAAAATAAAATAATATATATATTTTTTACTACGTTTATTTATATTTAATAGTAAAAATACAGTCTTGCATTTTTATTAGTCATGTTTTTTCCGTTTGTGGGGGTTAAAGAATCTGTCTGACGTCGATTGCTTCTCTCATTTCTTCGGGATTTTTCGGAAGTAATTAATAGTATCGTAATTATATAGATCCCAAACCCCATTAACCTTATTCTGGTTTGGATGCCACTCGGAGATCGTTGTTCTGACATCCTACCATTTCTTCAAAAGATCTTTAGTAGCAGATGTCGACATTGGTCCTCTTTTGTCTTCCTCATTTTCAAAATAAAACACATCTCGCTGAAGTTTCTTGGTGTTGTTCATTTGAGAGTTCTTGGGGTTCTTCTGTTATGAGCTCTAAAATGCTGTTTATTAATCAGATGCGATTTTCATTACTCCATTAGCAGCTTGAGACTTCTTGATATATCTTTCATATTTCTCAGTTATTTCTCAGATGCGATTTTCATTACTCCATTAGCAGCTTGAGACTTCTTGATATATCTTTCGTATCTAAGATTGTGCCTACTGTAGACCTGTTCGAGCCATACTGCCTAGCAACATCACACATTTTGCATCTAGTTTCTACCTTATCTCTTACTTGGTTTCCACGGTGAGCACAGTTCTTGGCACTCCTCTTTTTAGGCTCCATAATGCGGTATTATCAGTTTCTTTTTTAAATAAAAAGGTCAGAAAAGCACTTACAAAAATTCAGAGAACAGAAATCAACTAGCCCACAAAAATTATTTAAATGCAAGGCCCGGATGAAATTCGAAATTTTGGTATTAAAATGTTAATGAATATCCAATGGGACAGTTAAACTTTCATCTTTCGTAAATAAACCCTGACACGAAACTTAACAAGTGTCCGTTCGACGTCTCGCGAAGATTATAAATAATTATTTGTCAGAAAGGTAAACAAAAAGCTAGAATTACAAGGGAGAGTTTCAAACTTCGGAGGAATATTAATACTGTCCGGTCGGTATCGGGTTGAGCGTCGATGTTGACGTCTCCAGCGCTTCGAAAGGTTTCGAATTGATACCTGAAGACAAGGGAAAATCAATTGGTATTCGTTTATTTTCCGTAGCTTTCTTTTATGTTTGTTCAGTAAGGTGTTCATTGTCGATCATAAAAATCTTTCGCGAAAGTGTTCGTTATCCGATTTGTTCGCTATCCGAACTGTTCGTTAACCGATTACCCACTCTATTTCAGGCAAGTAAAAGTTGAACAAACCTCAACTGTACTTCAAACTTAAAACAAAATTAAAAGGATATTTGAAGTCAAGTACTTGTATATAATAAGTTTATATTAGTCAAATGATTACAAGTTGCTTGAATTGAAGTGACTTGACTAATGTAAACAAACATTAAAATATACTTTAAATATTAGAAAATAAGAAAAACCAAAATCTGAACAAGATTTCATATGACGGAACAACATATAATAACGATATACCGACGAATTTTACAGAGAAAACTTCAATTTTAAAAAAACCTCCATTATTAAAACGAGCAAATATTTATTATGACATCGTCATAACTTGCAAGTACAGTACTGTAAAAATACTTCGAAAAATAATTCTATTTTACTCACCTTCCTCTGTGCTATCTTTTGCAACAGAGAAAAAGAAAACTATCATTAACATATAGAATATTTCTGCCTTCATTCTTGTTCTGATGTGTAATCAACGCAAATATTTCTATATTTTTATTGACTATTATAACGTTTGTGTTTACATGACAACACGTATATAGTGTTTGAACGTAATAAGTGCCGATTAAAGAGAACCAATCAAACTGCGCCGACGAAGTAATTTTTAAATCTATTGAATGGCGGTTCATTTTTACCGAGTGTCAACCTATTTGAAATCGACTAGAATAATGAACAATTGAAATTAAATCGAGCGCACATTAACTTGCCTTATAGAATTGAAAATGATGTGATTTCAGTCAGTTGTCTCTTCTTAATGAGTAACTACTATGATTAAAATTAGACTCCAATTAATTATATACGAACTTCCTATGCCAACCAGAAATCTCGTTATTTCAATTCAATGCTTCCCATGAAAGTAGTTAAATACTTGACCGGCATAACTCTATTGCTAACTGAAAATGTAATATGTACTGTACATTGTGCACACCATGTAACGTGCAAAACTCTATAACCGTTAGAGGTAGGCCAATAAAAATGTTCAGCTCTGAATTCTTTGATTCTAAATGATGTGTCACATAATCCCTTCCCATTTACAGCTTCAGAATTGCATTCAATTTGGCCGACATCAAGATGGCCACTTTGTGTGTAACCACATCAATCCGTTTATCCCTCGGTGTAATGTGTTTCTGACACAAGCAAATGAAATTTGGGTACATTCTATGTTCTGTAGAAGGATGTTAAGTGACTTTTCTCCCATCCTGTATTATGAGTTTTGGGATTTTTTTAAATAATTTCTTAAACAAGTGACTGCTTTTATCGGTCTTCATTATAAAATTTAGTAAACATTCTGTCATAAAAACTAATAGAAATAGTAAACGATTAGGTTGATGAATAATTTAATCAGTGTCTGACAAACAACAGTGTTTGTCTGATATTGCATTTCTCAAAACATATTTCGTTACCAAGCAATTATTTATTGACACTGTGACAATGCCAAGTAACAATTCTTAATTATATATTTAATTTATTTCGTTTAAATCATATGACCTCCAATTCAAGTTAGTAATGTCTTGCCCCTGTACTGTACATTATACTTTTTCAATTATTGTTGGCACGAATCGTGCCAGTCATCTATCTGTCTCAGGGGAAAAAGTTTGAATTAAAATAACGTGACTACTTCCTATACAGCGAAAATTCATATATAATTAATTGAGGCCTTTCGATGTTTTGAATTGGAAAATTATTCAGAAACTTTAAATAAACGCAAATCAATAGTTTTAATTAAACTTAATTTATTACAATACACAACAATAATTTTTAATTCTATCGAGTGCGACATAAGTTACAGAAAATAAATGTATTACTGCTCAGGAGTAATGATAAAATCTGAGGAGTAATTTCTGTATGTTTGGATGTTAGTGTGTGGAGAGGAATGATTTGTTCACTACTCTCTTTGAAGCTTAAAGGACCATAGGCAACACTTGTGGTATTTATCCGAAGGACTCAACTTTATTGTTTAGTATTTCTTAGTTATTGATTTTTTACTGTTGCTTAATATCCCCATATCAATCATTCCTCGTATTCAAGTTTCGCGTTCAAGTCGTCAATGTCTTATATTATTATGTCTTGAATTCTCAAGATCAGATGAGATTTCTGTTCCAAAATTTTTCATTTTCTACATAGAATTGTTGAATTTCTAATAATTTCTCAATGAAATAGGTAGGATCTAAAGGTGGCAATTCACCCCCATAGTCGACAGGTAAATATTTAGGATCTACGAACTTGTGCAATGATTCTATTCCAGAACTATGAAGGTGAATCTGAAATTATTTAAGAGTGAATCATTTTATTATAAAATGCCAATCTTTTAATACACAGTATAATNCACCTTTGGTCCCATACCTGTCGGATTATCAAGGGACAACTGTAGTCTATATCAAAATATAATTTACTTCATTGTAATTTAAATATATTTATAACCGACTATACAATTCTGAAATATATTTTTAGTTCATATGAATTGTTCTTCTTATTTCAAGATAAGTTACAGCTGCTACTATCACTCCAATATTTTTCTTGTTCTTCAAAGAACTCTTGAAATTCTAGTAGTTTTTCATTGCATTCGGTAGGATCGAATGGTGGTAATTCACCACCGTAGTCGGCAGGTAAATACTTAGGATCTATGAATTTGTGCAGTGATTCCATTCCAGAACTATGAAAGTGGATCTGAAATTATTCGTGAATGAAACTATTTATTATAAACTATTAAAAATTCTAAGATTTTAAGTTAGTATAAGAGCCTCAGGCCTTATTTTTAAGTAATAAAGTAAAATAAATTATTTTCTGGGTATAAAATCCAATCTCAATGAGAACAGGGTAGCAGTTACCCTATTTGCAATGAGATTGGATTGAATTGGATTGGTAATGCAACACATATAACAATGGATAAATTTTGTGGTAGAGAGAAGCTTAACACAGGACCTACTGTGGAATGTTGGACTCTATGTAGTTGTTAGATACGTGAAGAAAATCCGGAAAATTCCACAGACCTAACCTGTTTGTCAGCGCAAAACCACTAGGCTAGTGGTTGTCTTCTTCACATTTTGTGGATCAGTTTAAGATATTCGGTTTTAAATCACCATTATTTAGCTACCTCCACTCAATCACATTTTCAGGAATTCGAAGCATTTAAAAATTCTGGATTCTGCTGGATCTCTATAATAAACTATTCTTAACGTTGTAATGTTAATCGTAATTAATAATAAAACTTTCACTTTACAAAATTATTATTGAAATTTTGAAATATAGCTAATGGGATCTAAAATTTGGGACAGCCTAATGCCAGAGACGTGTCTGAATACTGCCAGCTGCCATCTTTGTGGATCTGGCCAAATTAACAGAGTATAAAAAGGCTTCTGAAAAATGCTCTTGATTATTATACATTCAATTAAAGCCACAATACATTAATATAAATGTAATATGGCCAGTGAATAAAAGCACTTCATTTAGGGCTGGCCTAGATGGGATTCGAACCAGTTTTCTTCACGTGTCTAAGACGTAAATAGAAGACAGTTTCCTTCCGGAAGGCACCCCTCTTGTCAGATCGCCCATACATTGTGTTGTGTTATTCCATGTTGTGCGTTATTCAATCTAAATCTTGCGATTCTGTACTAATTCTTCTAATTAGAGAATATCTATATACATGTTTTAACGCATGGCTTTAAGCCTATACATGATGACCATGCATGAGCTTCCTGACCATTGTAGTTAGAAGACAATTTTATATGATACTTTGAGTCGTGACATTTAACAACGATTGACCGCTGATCAGCATTATTTTTATAATTTACACTTATTGTAAATACATTCTAAAATTAATTTATTTAATGCTGTATCAGAGTTATTGTTACTTAAATAAAGAAAGCAATGAACAATAATTATCGCTCTCATGTTATGTTGGATTTTTGTATATTCACTTAAAAAATTATTGAATATAGATGAACTTATTTACAATTATTAAGTATAGGAACAATTAAGTTACTTACTCTTTTCTTAATTTTATATGGTAAAAATGGCAGAAATGCTGTGAAGAAAGCTTGTACAAATGTTCCGATATTGACCACGTGGATTGCCTTGTATCTAACCTGACTGCAACCCTGTTTAGAAAATATATATGTGAATGTTAATGAATGTGAATCTTATTTATTTACTGTATATTTAAAATAAGTATATAATTAAATATAACATTAAATAATATTTAAGAAACGTAATTATATAACTTATTCTAAGTATCTTGAGTTTTTCATAAGCCTCGTATAGGAGCCTTTCTGGTTCAGTGAAAGAAGTGTTCATGAGCCTGGTGTAGACAGGTGCTCGATAATTGTTCTCGAGGCGGTACTTCAAAGTGTTTGTTCTCGAAACCTTGACAAAATTCCGAGAGCCGTTCTCAAACATGTGGATTTTTGGGTGAAGAGGTTATGCACATAGGCAGCTCTCAGTTTTCGAACTAACACCTTCCAGACTCTTTCACTTGTACCTAATAGGGGAAGCTGTTGTAAATCGAAATACTTTCTAATTTTCTTTTAACGAATTACTTAACAATACTTTGCTAAAATGAAAGAAAACTCTCATCTTTATATGCATGTTTAAGAATTGTAACATACCAATGGTAAAAAAAGATGTTCGTATGCTACTAATACTAATACTATTATAAAGAGTCTAACTAGGCAGTGTCTCGACCCCATTCCTCTCCATTTTGTACAATGATATACTTTTCGCAAACCCCTTTCCCTTAAGCTGTACAGGTAATTAATAGATGACTGTATTAGAAAACATGAGATACATAACTTCAATTTTCTTAAAATAATTAAAACTATAAATATTGTCATATTATTATGAACGATGCTTGAACATACAAAGATTAGAGAAGCAACAGTGTGAACAGTGCTTGGTGTCATCTGTATTATATGCCTCCAGGATAAAGTTTCAGCATCCAAGATCATAACAAAACCATTGACTTGCATTACGTGCTCGTTCAATAGGATATCATGAAACATTAACTTGCACTTTATTATTGTTTTAAAATGAACTTTACAAGGATCCCAATTAGCTAATAAAAAGAAAAATCGAATAATTAAATTTTTTGAAAATAATTTTTACAACAAATATTAAAAATTTATTAAACTTTTTATAAGTTTTATTGATAGCTTGCATACGTACGGCATTTTGCAATTCCTATAACTCTTCCTTCCTGATCAGTCTGCTGAAGATATCCAATCATTTTCATATCCAAATATTCTTTTACAGCCAAAGGATTAAAATCTGTAAACATACTCGGATTTCTTTCTCTTGATGAATAGTAATTTCTTAATAATTTAACAGCTCTTTCTCTATCAAATTTCCTAGCTCTCAGGAAGCTCAAGAGGAACATGTCGTCCATACGGCAATTTATTTTCTCTTCTGCAAAATTTTTAAATTATAATTTTATTACGTATATATACTGCATGCTTTGTTGTAATTTGATTAAAATCATAACATATTATATATAAAAAATATAATAATGTTTTAATCTCTTCTTCAATTGGGCCTCATACCAAGCGTGGATTCATTCATGAAAGATGTTCTTAGAGTGAATCTATGAATTGTAACTGCTGATTTCTTGAAGAAAAATTCACAAAAAAACACATCAAACAATGATTAAAGTTTATTTTAAAATTTGTAAGACAATTATATAGTGACAGTTGTGTGAATAGATCTAAAGGTATCATCCTGCTGCTCTGGATAATTCAGATTCTAATCCACTCCAGATTGTCAAAACTGTGCTTTGAATCGGATATATTGTGCACTGCTTCTTATCTGATCATCCTATTGTGGCTCTGATAAAACTGACGATGTGCAAGGGAAAAATTCCTATTAGAGTAAGTGCAAACTTTGTGGGCAGGAAGACGAAGAGGATGAGTTGCATGGGACAAAATTCGTCTTACTTTTTCCAGGATGCGACATTCCCGCCCCTTAAATCGTAAAGATCACTAAGCAAGATCTCCAGCTGTCGAAACCACCCGCATTCTACCTTATTAACAGAAATAGAGTTTTCTTTTTTGAGGAGGAACATTACCGTTTGTGTCACGATTTCTTTTACCATTCCATATTTCACTTCACTTTTTCTATCCAAGTTATGAAGAATTGTAAAATTTACAGTGTTTTCATCTAATAATCGGCAACTTACGACCACTAATTCTTTATGGAGAACGTTATTTAAAAGTATAAACTTGTAACGATTTCTTGACAAATGATATATTTGATAACTAACTTTCTTACTGTAATCCTCGAACACATAGAGGAAACTGCTGATTTTGTATCTTTGTAATAACAATTGTTAATCTATTCCTTTATGTAATTTATTAAATAATAAATATAATTATAGAAAACTCCGATTGTATGAGCTACTGTTCAGAACAATAAAAGTTCTTTTACTGCTACTAGCGACATGACTAAGGTTGGTGTCACCCAGTGCTGTAACTCATGATGAAGAGGTTGACGACCTCGTTGTATGACTGAGAAAGACTTTGTGTTTTCTTAGCGACTAATTCGTATGCGAATCCCCCCTTAAGAAGAAGCGTGCATCTGTATAGGTGAAGAATGGAGAAGACACCCACCTCTTGTACAGAGGGCATGGTCTCGAAAAGCCGTGTTTCCGAGGCACCTAGTTTGCATAATCTCGCGGGACAAATTCCCTTAAATGCCCCATAAGTGTCCCTAACTGTCCAAAATTGCTATAAAACTGCCCAATTCGTGCTAGGGTCAAAGGTCAAGTAACTAAAATACACCGAAAACTACAGTTTCCTCCCTTCTAATTTACATAATTCCACATTCTTACTATCTTATTTACATTTTCTCTCGTATTTATATATGTAGAGATAGATTTCTTTTCGTAATAGACCATACAGAATCTTAGTAATGTATCTTAGTAATGTACAACCTGAAACACTACACAAAAATTTTATATTTATTTGGTGATACCCTACGTTTAATGACCCGAAAGAGGTCATACACAAACGAAATAAACTACACAAAAGGAAAGTGCTGAAAGTAAACAATATGTTAATTAGTTAGACCTACGATGATTACAACTGTACTGAACATATAAGCCTATAAGCGTTATTCTCTTGTCAATATTTAACTTTATACACGACTACGAAAGTTTATATCAGTCAAGTGATCTATAAGCTATCAATCTACAATCATATCAATATATATACCGATACATTAATCATTTAGAAAACAAGATATCATTTTATGTTTCTACAATACTATTGATTACAAGGTAATTAATTAATGTGAATTAGACAGCCTGATTCCTGACCGGTCAAGATGTTACACTTTCATAATGGGGGAATCCAGACAGGTCGAAAAGCCACAGAAACTTTACCACACTATTGTGGGACTGATCAAACTCATAATTGTTTTATTAAAAGGCCTTGTTTTCCTTCCTTTTAAGAAGTTTATAATGTTATTCTAACTTATTTATTACAGTAGAATCCCGGTTATTCGAGGTAATGTGAACTGATTCTCGGATAACCGAAAACGTATTAAAAATTACGATAACAAAGAATTTATACAGTGACACTTTTAAACCTCCTCTTAGTGAATTTATTCCTATAAAGAACACTAATACGTACAATAGTTTTATGAATAGTTATTGTAGTCAGGTAACAGAAACAAATCATTTTATAAGTGTTATTGCTTTGAATCTTTTAAGAATTACAGTATACGAAATGTATTCGTTTACGGGTTTGCCTCGGGTTTCTACTGTACTAAAATTAATACAAACAGCACAAACACTTTGCTCTAAATGTCAGAAGAATAGAACAAGATCAAGTTCTACTTAATTGTCGTATTAAAATAGACTTTCTTAGTTTAAAAGCAAATGTCTATCGACCTAACAGATAGTGTATCTCGACATTTTAAATTGTGGCATTCCTTGTTTATTCCCTTCACCCTTCATTTATTGTAAATATTTAATATTAATTACAAATTTGTTTGTATATAAAATAAGACTTACTGATAATTATATCCTTGAAACTTCGAATTTCTTTATCGTTCCACGTGTATTTGCTACTTTCATTTTCGGATCTATCTACAAACAATCCAAGAGTCATTCCTGTAATAGTTAAACTACTATATTATTAAACTTAAACACTCTATTTAATAATATTTATTAATAAAAACATTAAACATAAACGAAATTCTAAAACAAATGTTAGTTAGGTAGATTTACTAAAATATATTTGTGTAAATAACACAGAATTTCTGGAGGAATGACCTCCAGAAAAGCATTTCCAAGAAATGAGAATGATGGCTGAAAGAGAATATTTCTGTAACACTAATTCTTTTCCTATTAGCCATCTAGAAACCCATAAAATAGCAAAAGGTTTAATTTTAATAGTAGAGAGTTAAAAAAAATTGTCATTATCTCGAGATACAGTACACGATCCCATATATTTCTCTGTTCTTCTGGCCTTTAATTACCAAAGTTTAATAGCAGTAATAGACTAAATAACACTGTGAAGTTTCAAAATTTTTTTTGGTTTATTCAGTCCTGAGGCATTAAGAAAAGTTGATGCCAACATACACATATACATAGAATTTCCTAAAGGTTTTGTTTATATTTCTTAGCTTACATAGTCAAAAATGTCGAGTAATACCCGGGTGGAAAGTCAAAATTAGCTGGTCAATATAACAGCTGGGAAACTAAAACGATATTTCCTCAGGGTTTGTAGATTCACATGGTTCAGGATTACATTATAAAGAATAGAATTTTTAAAATAATGTATATGTAAATGAAATAAAAGTAAATGTATCCATGTATACGACGAGTGCTCGTTCTTATTAACGGACTTATTTTATATGAATTTGAATTAATTAAACTTAATATTGTTTAAAAGTAGCATTTAGATAATTAAAGTCTTAATATTTAACTAAATAAACTTAAAAATACTATAATTTACGAGTAATTCTTGAATTTTATTGCGTTACGGACGTATCTATATCTTATACTCGCAAACTCAATCATAATATTACATACAATTTTTTTTAATGAAGTCTTTTAAATATTTAAACTTCATACGTTTCAAAATATTAGAATTAATATTGATAATGATTTTAATATTTAAAAAAACATTACTATATACTAATTTAACCATGTATGAAAGAACAACAGAACAGTAAATACTTACTTGTTTCTATAGTGAATGTGTTAAAAGAGTATCTTTACTGATTTCATTATTTGTATCAATAGATAAACAGTTTGTACTTGTTATCTATTTGCATCCAAAGTTCAATAATACTGATTACTTTTTTTATATTGTATGACAGTTGTATTAAACCTTTAGAATTTTCCATAATTAATACAGAAATTTCATGATTGTAACAAATAAATTATCAATACATATAGTTTGTTTTTGCTCTTTTCTCCCTATGAGCTTTCTATCAAGCCTGTTGTGGTTTTAGCCTGTTGAAAAGGCTAAATTGAAAAGGATTCTGGATTCCCAGAGTATTAGGCTGATGCTTTAACCTCCTCAGGATAGTGTAAGTATAGTATATTATAATAAGAAAATGAATATGAGTATGCAGATATGATTTAATACTGTGGAATACTTTATAAAAGTCTTTGATTTCAGTAAGAATATCATAAAAATCTTAATATATTACATATAAAATATCTATATTAAGTTGAAAAATTAATGAAAAACAAAAAGGTTGTGAAAATTGTTTATTTTCTGATTGATACATGAGTTGTAAATTGGATTAGATTTTTCACTATCAACAAAAATATAAACTAGAAATGTCTTTGACACAGTTTATTGTATTTATTGACTTGAACTGATGCCAATTTATTTATTGTTTAAACACGAGGCACTAATGGGATTGTTGTCTTTTCACATCTTACCCGGAGATAATAGTAAAAAAAGGAGTAACTTACCATTATAAAAAGTTATATAAAATATCATACATTTGTTTTATATTTTATACAACAGTATCGTAATATAATAGTAAAATAAACACTTTTTAAGCTCTTTCTGTTCAGTGGAAACTAAGAAGGCCCTTTTTTGTGGCAAGCCTATTATTGTCCGGAGCTCTTCACATCAGGCAATACCACCCTTAAAAATTTCTTGGGAGGTTTTTGACCTTTCCGGATTCGATTCAGTGTCTCAGAGTGGTAGTTTAACACCTTAAACGCTCGACAATCCGCCTTCTAAACATATTATACTCGCATGACCCCCGTATAACACTGTTGATTTTTCCGTTTTATATGAATTCCATGTTGTACGAGTCACTTAGATTTTACAAATACGTGAGCCGTTCACAGCCCAGCACACGTATTTGTAAAATCTAAGTGACTCGTACAACATGGAATTCATATAAAACGGAAAAATCAACAGTGTTATACGGGGGTCGACTGTAAATTATTACTAGCATTTACAAATTTTTATAAAACCCATCCTGACTCTCAAAATCAAGCTTTTTTTTTTCATTTTACTATAATTAAAAAGTTTTTAGAATAAAATATCATAACAGATGGCGCCAACAAACGTTGCCTGGAAAGTTAAGCAACTGGTTTCTGGATTGCTTTGTTTGGTAAATAAATTGCAATGGAAGGTTTTTATATTTGGATAAAATGTCAAAAAGTTCAGAATTAGAAAGTTCAAATGCGTAATAGGCAAATAATATGATCAAGAACAAATGGATCTTGAAGACAAGAGTTTTTATTACATGTTTCTACAGAAAATACTAGGCCATGGCCAAAAGATTGACCTGCAAGAAGGATCAACAAAGATCTTTGTTGGAAGTGACTGTTAAAGGTCGATAAAAAGCCGATAAAAGGTCGTTGGCATTGAATCTGATTTAAAAAAAATAATAATAATTTAAATACCTAATCTTTCGAAGAGATATTATAATAATGTACANCTGTAAAATAACACTATATATATTTAGTTTTAAATGTATATTTTCTTTTTTATAAATCAAATAACAAATATTTTAAATATTTACTTACTGAAGATCATATCTTTGAAAATTTGAATTTCTTCCTCATTCCACGTGTATTTTTTTCTATCATTCTTCGAGTTATCGATGAAAATTCCTAAAGTCATTCCTGTAATAAGTTAGAAAGATAATTTTTAAAAATAAATTTACTACTATATTTTTCTCAATTCAGTAGATTATTTTCCTTTAAAAGGAGTTATATAGATGACAAGTAAGACTTTATTGCTAACGGAAAAGTATAATGTACTGAAGCAAGCCATTACTAATTTGAGGTGGAGAGCATATATTTTAAATTAAATAAACTAAAAATATAATTAAAAATTACAGTCCGGCATTGTGAAGATGTCATAATATCAATAAATAATTGCTCGTTTGATATTAAGATATTGCATTAGATTGAATTGATGAAAAAAAGACAAAGTAGCACATGGTAGGGAATGCTTTTCTGGAGGACTTTCTATTGAAAACTTCTTCTGTTTAAAAAGTTCTATAGAAAATTGTCTTCTCTCTGTGTTAGACACACACAGAAAATCTGGAATTTTCACGTGCCTCAGTTCTTCAGACACAAATCCGCGACCTACCAATAGAATACAATAGGTTTATCCACTAGGTTATTGTTAGGCAGGATTATTTTTATTTCAGACATCAATTTAAATAAAGGGGTAATAAGAAAAGAAAAGAATTATGGTTTCCAACTTTCTATTGCAAAAAAAGAAGTATATTATAACCATGTAAAATAATAGTTTAAAATAATCTAATGCCTACAATATACTCTGTAATAACTAACTTTTCGTGTGCTCTGTGCAAAGTTTTATTTTTGAGCACTAATTTTTTCGGGAAGGAATAATAAAATAAATATGACAAAATAATTTATAGAAAATTTTTATATAGCCTACATAAGAAATATACGTATTTCACGTTTCTAACTTCTAAACATTTTATAAAATTGGCAAAGGGTTTCGAAAATACTTAAAATAAATAAATATATAGGGTGGGTGATGGAAAAGTCATGCACACGTGTGTGCTAGGAATTAATTTTATTTTGTTGGTTAATGTAGTAAAAAAAAAGTTATAATCTGATCTTTAAGAAAAGCAAAATCAAATCATGTTACAGTATTACAATGCATGTTTGAAATGTCTTCCACACAAGCACCCAGCGATGAAATGGACGGAGGGTTGTAGTTACATAAAACTACATGAGCTGGATTGCTAACTCATTTGTCTTTGTAGTCATAGTATCATACACTTAATAATAATTTATATACACGGTTCTTTTGAGATATGCCAGAGAAAAAATGTGAGAGGACCACAATCCTTTAGAAATAATACTGTCACCAAAGAATTTTCGCAAGAATTAAAGAATCCAAATGTTTCCAATGAAACTCACCGGCATAAGAGCGACTGACGAAATAAAGCTCATCAATAAAAATTTATTGTTCCTAATAAAAACCCATTTCAATTTTTAAATAAGCAAAGCCTTACCGTAGCCAATTTCATGACTTTCACACAAAACTCTGAGTTTCTATTACTAATCAACAGTTATTATATTGTCATGTTGTGGGGGGAGGCATAATAAAAGTAACTTGGCTCGCTAATATTTTGTTGTGCACGACTTTTTAATCACTATACAGTATTATTATATAAGTTGTACTTACAAATTTTATAACTTTCGATAAAGTTTGTTTTAAATAATTGTTAAAATTTTACAGTTACGTTTCAACATTTACTTATAGAAAGATCTAAACCACACAGGCCTATAAACACACGTCCCTTGATCCAAATTATCCATGTGTTTTAAAGTAATGGCGGAAGAAGGTTAGTTCTTACCTACAGAGTTGTAATTTCCTTCAAGAATAAACACAATAACTTCTTTATAGGAACTAATAGAAAAGAAGAAAGAACCTGATTTTGGATGGATGAGGAAGAGAAAAAGAGAATTTACGCAATAATTTATATAAGTAAACGAAGTTCTAGATGGTTTAACGTATGGATAAAGAAGTTTATTTTTTATTTTTGTATAAAAGAAAAATAATTTAACACGAATAATAAAAATCTTTTAGTTTTAGAGCGTTAGGGAAAGACTTGACTACGGACAAAAACATTAAAAACTCGAGAAATATATCGAAAAAAGTAGTGTTAAACGAATGAATTACTTACCCGTTTCTTAGATGAAAACACTAATGAATACATCAATTAATGGTTATCGTTTTCATTATTTTCATTAAATAAATTATTTGTAAATATAATCAGTTCGATGTTTAAAGTACAATTTAATAACACCGATAACGACTTTTCAACTTTTTTTTTTTTTGTCGATTTTATTAAAGATTTAATCAAGCAGATTTGAGGGTTAAATGAAGTTGAATACTGTAATTCAAAACTCCTAGTTCCATGATAAAAATATAAATGAAAATATTAATTTGTTCATTAAAAATTGTTTAAAATATTTTTAAAAATATATATATAAATATATGTTTATAAGAAATAAAAATTAATATATATTTTAACCTTGAACTGTTCAATTATAGTTTAGCTAGATATGTTTTTGTTATCTCACAGTTCTGTCAACTTTTATGTGTGACGTAAATGGTTCTTATAACAGAGGAAATATGGCGATAACTACTCCAAATTCTTGGAATCAGGGGACCTTGAAACATCGAGAAATGAAAAAAATTCAAAATTTTTTTTCCCAGTATGTTTGGATATTAGTGTGTGTTTGACCGGGTGGGTGAGTGGTTAACACATTATACGTCATGCACGGTATCTTTTCAGACGGATTACAGAGTGTACCTAAAGAAATTGGAATAATATATTAGAATGCCCTGGTATATAATGTACAGTACAGCAAAGTCTGCAACGCTTATAACTTAATAAATCTTGCAAAAACACACACAAAAAATATCCACTACTGTAATTAAGTTAGTGCCGAATTAAGGAACTTTCATTGATTTGTGTGCGTATCTAGAACATAATACACTGTTTGTATACAAAAAAACCAGGAATATATTTTAGAGATTAAAAATAATAATTAATAATAATACCCTACGTGTTCGTAAGTCTTAACTCGAACACAAGAATTTTACCTAAAAATGTGAATGTACGAAAATAGAATGTTCGAAAGCTGAGCAATACAGCTGTATATTATAGAGTTATAAAAGTACTTTGTTTTCTTAGAACATTGTAAAATAATGTTAAAGAATTGACAAAGAACAGTTTATTTTATTTTCTCTGCAAGCTTATCTTTATAAAGATGAAGGATCTGGATGAGGTGTATTACGGTTAATTGTCAAGCCATTTTAATATTGAATCTGATTTGATATTACCAACACTCAGATCAGTCGTTTGCAAATGAATTCTTGTGTCTAATATAATTAAATTCAATATTTTCATAGTTTTTTTTTTTTAAAAACGAATTTAACTTTTAAATATTTATAAAAATGGCGAAAAATGACAATAGGTTAAAGGATAGGATAAGATTGATAAATAAGACAATGGAAAAAACACATGGAAGATCTTCTAAGGAAAAATGCCTCCTAGAAGACTTTCTATGAGAAGCTGCCCTTATGTAGGTGAAGAAAACCAAGAAATTCCTCGTGACTAGCCAAATGAAATTCGAACCCGCGACCAGCTACCAGTGTTAAGTGGTTTTATCCACTCGACAACTGGTAATCAACAGAATAAAGAAGATAATAAAAAATTATTTGTATGTAGCTTCCACCAATCTAGAAATAATCTTAATCATAGACTACATTTCAATAATTTAATTATCATTTATATCAGTGGATAAATAATTTACGTAATCTGCAAGAGATCAAAAGTACAAATGTCAAAGAAGGATTCTAGCTTAACATTAAACACAACTTTTTCCAGTTATAAACACGTGTTTATTATCAAAATATCCCAATTTTCTTGCTAAAAGTCGAATGTATTTTAATTAATTATTTGCTATTAGCTGCATGTGTCTGGCATTGCTCGGGCTTTTTAAGTAGTGAAGGATTGATGAAGACTTAGGCATAGTCTTAGTAACTAAAATATAGATTTATTGACTTCAGTATTTACAATAATGAAATTGCAAAACATAAAAATTGATTGGGCTAAAGTTAACAGGTGGTGAGACTCCGATATATTTGTTCCGTAGACTTAATATTGAATATTTACCAGTTTTCCTCGCCTGAAGCATCGCATCTTCCCCAAATAGCTCTTCAGCGACATCATCTACAAGGTATGGGCTTTAATTTAATACCCGAACGATATTTTTAACCCCAGCCCAATATTTAACATTTACAATTATGTGAATTCACAATGATTCTGTTGTTTTTTTTCCATAAGTGTCTCCTATCTAACATAATGCCAATCGGAATGCCAAGTTAGAACATATTCAATTTATACTACTGTTATTTTTACTACTATTGTTCCAAAATTTTTCTTGTTCTTCAAAAAACTCTTGGAATTCTAGTAGTTTTTCGTTACATTCAGCAGGATTCAATGGTGGCTTTTCTCCTCCAAATTCGACAGGTAAATATTTAGGATCTAAGAACTTGTGCAATGATTCCATTCCGGAACTGTGAAAGTGAATCTGAAATCATTTGTTGAAAAGTTAATTTATTATGAAATTTCAAAAATTTCATAATAATTATTTTTATTTATTTATTTATTTAGACATACTAGGCAGAGCCCATGATGCGGGGTATACAATAATTCAAATTTCATAATAATTACAAGTATAATTAAAAGACTATTTTACAATTAAATGTGCCACACTATTGTGCAACTGTTATTCTTAGTACTTAGATCAAATACTTAGTACTTAAATCATTCTTAGCACCATGAAGAGCCTATTACCAACAGCAGTGATTAGAGATACTAAAGAACATTTCAAAGTATAGGCAAGACTGACAGACATAATGGTAGAAATCTGTTCCCGATTAATGGTTTAAAAAAAACAAAAACAGAAAAATAGCTCACTAAGTCTTAGAGTGATTGTGACGTGAATAAAAAAGTCAGTTTCGGTTTGACTCGCCCTCATACATTAATATCACAAGGCATTGTTTATGTTGCAAATATTACTTAACGAAATAAATCAATTTAATTATATTACTTACTCTTTTCTTGATTTTGTATGGTAGAAACGGCATAAATGCTGCCATAAACAGGTATAAGAATTTCCCAACGTTGATTATGTGAATTTCTTTATATCTAACTGGAGTGGAACCCTGAAATTTTAAAATGTATGATGTGAACATACTGACGAATGTAGATTTTAATTGATAATGTGTTTTTTTTTTAAATTAAAATTCGAATAAGTTTGGCTTGAGGGAATAATACAACGCATATCCCCAATTAATGAGGTCTCCCTGCAAGACTTTTATGGGAAATCGCTATTAGACAGGATACTTAGAAAGGATATTTATAGGATACTGTACTTACAAAAATATTTAAGTATATTATTCATTAAAATTTACAAGATGGGATGTACGAAGAAGATGGTATTCTGATAAACAGATTACACATAAAAGTTCTCCCATTAGCCCAAAATATTCCTTATATACGACGTATATGTAAGGAATTATATATATATATAGGATTATTTAAAAGTCAAGAACAACCTTAAAATTTATATATCACTATATTTTGAGTCTAAGAAAACTGCAGTGTTTAGAGTCAACGTATTTCATCCTAAACATATGCGGTTTTCACGCGAATATACAGAATAACTGCCCTTATTTCAAAAAAATAAAGTTTAATTAGACATTTATGAAGCAGGTTACTAACGTTTCATAAACGCTGTGTGTATTTCTGACTAATTTTTGACTCTGAAGACATTCAAATCATCCACAAATCCCTACTTTCAAACTAACTTTAATAAACAATATGTAAACTTTGTTAAAGTTAAATAATATATCTTATATTTAACATCTTATAAGCGATAGTTTAGAACTTACAAGCATTATCGAAATTACGGAATGGATGACGCTCGGCGTAAGTTGTATGACGTGCCTCCAAGTTACGCCTTCAGAATCGAAGATCACAACGTAACCATTCACTTGCATTACGTGTTCATGCAACATCATGTCGTAAAACATTAATGTACTTTTTAATAATTGTTTAATGTGAATTTTTTGTGGGTCCCAACCACCTAAATAAAGAAAAACACAAATTTTCTGTTAAATAGTAATAGGAAGATGTTTAAAATCCATCGATAACTTACGAGTTTTTGCGATTCCTATTACTCGTCCTTCCTGATCAGTTTGTCGAAGAAATGCATATGTTTTCGTATCTAAAGATTCCTTTACAGCTAAAGGATTAAAATCATTAAAGTAATCCGGATATCTTTCTCTTACGGAGTAATAATTTTTTAATAATTTAAGAGCTCTTTCTCTATCGAATTTTCTGGCTCTGAGGAAGCTCAAGAGGAATATGTCGTCCATACGACAATTTATATTCTCTTCTGTAAAATAATAGTTAATTCTTCAGGTTTCGTGAAAATTTATTATTTAATAAGTTTAAATTGTTAAAATATTAATCTTATTCTCTACGATAGATAAACATTGCAAAAATTCAAGATGGCTGAATTTCAAAAATGCTAACTATTGAAATATTATAATCCTTAACATATAAATACTGGTAACTTATTACTATGCTTAGACTTGTTCAGCAATGGAGAAATGCAACAGTGTCACTCAATAGAAATACCTTGGTTTATTTTATGGTGTTGAGATGGATTCCGGAGTTTCTTTACAAACAATGAAATCGTTACACAATACTTACATAACCCAGCAATTCCTAATATGTTACTCATCTGGAAAAGATGATATTTACAACATTATGCTTTAATCAAATGTTACTTACACATTGCATACCAGTTTGCACCCAGTTTGCTTATTAAAATATTCAATTAACATTCAAACGCCTGACCGTCGTGAAATCTAGAATACGACTTTATTGTTTCTTACAACACTATCAATTATTTCAATCAAGACAAAAATATACAGTATATAAATTGAAAGTTTCCTTACTTCTTATCATCTCTTTGAAGTTTTGAATATCTTCATCGTTCCACAAATATTTATTGTTTTCATTCTTTGAGTTATCAATGAATAGTCCAAGAGTCATTCTTGCAAGTTGAAAATATTAAATATATTCATTTAAATTTAAGATAAAAGTGCTATTAAATGAAATTCAATTAATTATTATACAGGATATCCGAGAAGGTTCTACTTTATTATAAAATTTAATTAAAAAAACAAAAAGTCCACAAAAAGAAATATCTTGGGATTATGTTGGGAAATCTAGGGGACTTGAGTGTTAGTTTCCACGGTAAATTCATTCATCGTCCAGGAAACACGGTATCAAACAAATTACATAAGGAAATTGCCCAGTGTGAGAGAGCACCGTCCTGTTAAAACAGTATCTGGAAGGAAATCAGTTATCAATTGCAAATTCTTCATGCACACGTTGAGGTTTACTCAATTTACTTCAGCTTTTGTATTCATTTTTTTAATAAGAAAAACTTTTTGAGTTAGTATTTCTTTTATCACAAACAGCATTTCGATAGACCTCTTTGTTTTTATAATAATGTAGAACTCTCCCTGTATATTAGTATTATTGTATACAGTATTTTATATCAGTAATAATATATACAATGCATTAATTTATAAATTAAACACACAAACTTGTTTATATAATCCTACGTTAGTACAAATAACAATTATGCATTTTTCTAATTTTCTATAAGGCAATGTCAATTCTTAATCTAACAAAAAATGGGGCCCCATTGGACTTCAATAATCCCTAGGATTCGAAAAATCTAGATCCACCCCTGGTCGATAGAGTGACAGTTCTAGGAATAAAGTCGGGTTAACAGGTTAAATGTCAACTTTCTCAGAGGGAGAATGAACTTGTTGCTTCGAAGTCGACTGTTGATAGTTAAATTAACATTCGATCATCTCCCGTTTTTAACTTCGTGGGAAAAGGACAGAAACTCGTCTTTCTGTTAAAACATAGAAAAACGGCTCCCCGATTCTCACGGTCGTCGTTGGTAAGGCTTTCACCAGAAACCTTCAGTAACTCCTCAATATTTTGCTTGTGTATATTTCCTAGTCCTGCTGTATCGATCAGGTTCACAACAATAGGCTCTTCTCGTTGAGAAATCTTCTTCCACACTCCATTCATACATTTATCAGTTAATTCTTACTGTAATCTAATTGTGATCGTTTAAGATAAAAATAAGCATACACCAATACGAGCCCACAAGTGGTCCAGAGGATAAAACTTGGAAAACTCCACGTACCCAGTTGCCGATCACGGGTTCGCTCACCACCGACGGGGTGGTTATGTTTTATTCAGGTGTCCAACACATAACCAGAAGCCACTTTCTCATAGAAAATTTTCTGGAAAGACAACCCATGGCAGATTGTTCGTGCGTTGCATAGCCATAACCCAAAACAAATTTGTATTTTGAAAATTCAGTAAAAATAACTTTTCTTTCGCTAGCTATTTATGAAAGAATGATTATTATAAGTGTTAGATCTTTACGGATAGACAATTATTTTATACGGCAATCAGTTATGAAGTTACATATATACTGTAGACAAGTTTGTTAATTTTTATATTAATTACTCGGTAAATCTTGATGTGTGATTTAATAAAAGAGTTAGTTACAAAGAATAAATTACTTACTCGTTTCTGCGTTGAATGTTCTAATGATTATCTGTAATTGAGGATAAACATTTCATTTTATCAAATAAAGCTTGAAACGATTATCAGCGCGACGTTCAAAGTATAATTTAAAAATAAATTTAGTTATGATTATTAATAAACGTAATTACTTTCTGCTAAATGTATAAATAAGTATAATGCAGTAATAATTGCCTTTATACTCTGTCCGCTCGTGAAAGGTATTTCAGGAATTACAATGAAATCGAGTGGGAAAAATTCATTTTCACAAATTGGGGTGTTCGAGATACAAAACAGAGTAAAGTCTAAGACTGCGTAACTAATTTATCTGTTTTTGTATGATTAGATTAGACTATAAACTAAGATCAATATGGAATTAAAACGTAAACAAAACAGTAATTAAGGTGTTTGATGTACGAGTTTATCTGAATTCGTTTCTGATAATATTCAAGGGTACGAGTTTCGAGTGAAGTATCAAGCAACACATTAACTATATAAGTTGGGATGTTTATTATACTTGCATATTATCGGTCGATTCCTTAATTGAATATAGAATTCCAAGGAAGAAACATACTTAAACATTAGGATTATGTGATTTGGGAACATTTAGCGTTGCAGAAAAATTACCTTTAGCGATTGTTTTATCATGAATGAATGGCTCAGACGGCAGGAATTAATGTATGGGATCCGGAAGGTATCCGTAACCTTTTGTTTTATGAACAAATGAAATACATAGAATATTTCTTTATCAATAAAAAGCAGTCTCAAAGATTTATTTACTGTTTATAAGAATAACGTTAATTTTATAGCGTTTGGAATCACTACAGACCTTGAATTTTCTCCAGAATCTCCAGATATAGAATTGTATATGAATGTTAGTGATTATTGTATTTGAATTAGGATCACTTCCTAGTTGTTTATGTTCCTGTGTTTCGTTGTGTTTAATAACTTTTTGTCGTTTTCTAGATATTTAAGACATCCTGAGACATGTGATGTTTTACATGTCTACATCTACATGTAAAGTAGTTAGTTGCAAAACAATATGAGCAATTTGTGATATGATTTGTAGCAATACATAATTTGCTAACAGAAATCTTGAAATGTTAATAAATTAATCTTTAAAGTGTGAAATTTCAAAAGAAAACATTAAGATTTTTAATGAAAATTTTCGTAACTGTATTTACTTAAATACAGCTGTTCACAACAGAAAAAAAATTTGCAGCATTTTTTAATATTTGAACTTTAGACAGGTTACTGATACAAAGTGTTTATCTAATGATAAAAATGATAATAAATGTAGATCAAATTTCAGTATTCATCTCAGAATCGAGTAAGTAGTTTCTTCCCTTAAATTCCATTTAAGGCCCATTTGTGGCCAAGTGGTTTCGTTCCCTGAATACTGGTAGTCGTGAAGTTTTCCAGGTTTTCTCTACACCTGAATATGGACCAGTTACCCTTAAAAGACTTCCCCGAAGGCATCTCACCTAGGCAGATTGCCCAAATGATGCATTGCCCTAACTTAATAAAATAAATAAATTTCATTTAAATAAAATATCATAATAGATGGCGCCAAACACGCAGTTTCGAATGTTGCCTGGAAAGTTAAGCAACTCTTTTCTGGATTTTTATTTACTTCAATAACAATTTTTAATTTTAATAAATAAATAATTCGCAAATTGTTCTTGTTAGGATTTTTGATATTTATTAAAGACGACGAGTCTTACTTATCATTTTTATTATATATAATTCTATTTTTTGTCCAACAAGAAAAACTGAAAAGTTTCAAAATTAATATAAAAATAGAAATAATTTTTAATAATTACACTTTAATTTACAATATCTTACAACTGACAAGATATCTTTACGTTCTTAAGATACTTTGTTTCGTGATGTATTGTAGAATGCAACGATATTTAACACTTACAATTATGTGAATTCACAATGATTCTGTTTTTTTCATAGGTATCTCCTATCCAACATAATGCTAATCACAATGCTAATTTAAAATGTATTTAATTTATACTACTGTTCTCTTTACTACTTTTGTTCCAAGATTTTTCTTGTTCTTCAAAAAACTCTTGGAATTCCAACAGTTTATCGTTGCATTCAGCAGGATCGCATGATGGCAATTCACCTCCATATTCGACAGGTAAATATTTAGGATCTATGAACTTGTGCAATGATTCCATTCCGGAACTGTGAAAGTGAATCTGAAATCATTTGTTGAAGAATTAATTTATTTTGAAATTTCAAAAATTTCGTAATAGTTACAATTAAAAGACTATTTTACAATTCAAAAATATAATAACGATTAAAACGAATTGAGACTGATTTTTTCCTGTCGAAAGTGAGCATTGTCTCTGTATAGAATGATTCTCTGCATGTCTGTCCAAAAATTACATAGAAGTACGTGACTTTGGTAACTACAGCACACAGAGGAAATGTCTGCTGCCCGTCTACTTTCGGATGAAAATTTACAAAAGTTGCAACGTCTGACTACTGACCATCTCAATGACGTATATCTGCAATCAGTTATTACTACTGATTAAAACCTGGCTTCTTCATCACTTCTTTCCTGAGAGCAAACAGAATAGCGTAGCGTGGAAATAACCATTATTTTCCACTGAAAAGCTTCAACATATGGAGAGTAATGGTCATCGTCTTCTTTCATTGCTTATAAATAATATACTGTATATGCTGCCTCTTATACGACTAGAGATTACTATATGTTAGTTTGCACAACCTGTTAGATCATATCCATAGGATACATCTATTTCTATGCCAAAGTTTGGCGAATGTATCATGTTCGCGCGCTGCTCAAAACTGTGTTATACCGTGGAATGCCCAGATTTGGCATTCTTATTCTCAGTAATGAAAAGAACAATGTGAAGAGCCCATTACCTATCTGCAACAGCAGTGGTTAAAGATACTAGAGAACATTTCAAGTACAGTATAGGCTACTTGACGTCTTCAATGACTGGCAGAAATAATGGCAAACGACCTTTAATGTCACGGTTAATCTTTCAAAAAAGCCAAAGTCACTAAGACCTGGATGAGGAAACAATCAGCCTCAGTTCTCATTTTGTTTTGACTCGTCCTGATACATCAACATCAAAAGGCTTTGTTTACGTTAAAAATATTTACTTAAGGAAATAAGTCAATATAATTGTAGTACTTACTCTTTTCTTTATTTTGTATGGTAAAAATGGCATAAATGCTGACATAAATAGGTATACAAATTTTCCAACATTCATTACGTGAACTGCTTTATATCTAACTGGAGTGGAATTCTGAAATATTGAAATACTGATGTGAAATACTGATGAATATAGATTTTGTTAAATGATTAAGTGTTTTAATTTAAATTAAAATTCCAATGAATTTGGTTTGGTGGAATTCTCCAATAACTAGGATCTCCCAGCAAGACTTTCTATGAGAAATTGCCGTTTAGTAAGGCACGGACCCCTGACTAACTATTAGTGTTTAGTGGGTTTTTTATTCACTCTGCCACTGATGGACGAAATGCGAAAAGCTTAATATTCTTAAATATTAATAATTTGAAGAAAGAAAAACGTAATTCACATACTACAGAAAGTTAATTACTTAATTTTCCTCACTACAACATATTGACTCTAATTATATATTTATTATGAGAAGTTCTGTGTTAAAAGATTTAAACTTTTGTATTATCGATTATTTATGAGAATATTTAAATATACTAGGACATCGCGCGATTCTGTCGTATCGCGATAGAATTAAGGCGGGAGCCGGAAAGAAGCGATCCTCACATTTGTTAGGCACAGAAAAGATTATCCTTTTATACCTATATACGTAAATAGAGCATTTGGCACCACGTACAAGCTTAAATATCGCGATAAGTCTTTCATTAGTCTGTTATAAATTTAAGAATTATTTTAAAAAAACACTTTAGAAACATAATGAATATTATATTTTGTAATATAAATTTTCATAATCGTGTGTGACAGTTGTTAATGAATTTATTAGTTTGCCCATAGAACAATTTTGTAAGCTTGATGCCCCACCATCTTGGCGTTCTAAGCACCATCTTGATACTTAGGTCACCAAGATGTACCGTACTTCCTCTGCCTCTGCCTTTCCACGAACTCGATTGTATTCGCCGGTCATAGGATACGCGATCCTCTTGCACTGTTCAGATACGGAGAGACGATGTTTGCACTTGCCGACAAGGCAAGGCGATTCAAGAACAAAGTAATCAATAGCGATTGCTTTGTTCTTATGTATTATTCGTTGTTTTGCGCCTATTTTCCGTTAGGCGCGCTCAATCGCATCAGGGCGCACGGTCATTGCCATTTTGACTCAACTGTATATAGAAAAGGAAGCCACGGATCCTTACTTTTTATACATATATGAAGCTTTATTACATATTTTGATTCCTCGTCGCAATCAATGTAAAATGGCAAAGTTTCATCAAAATTGATCCATCACATTTCGAGAACAAACTCAATTCTCGAAGCGCAGAGATTTGTATATCAGTAGATTCAAAATCTACTGATATATAAATCTGAAACTGGATATGCATAAAGTCAAAGTTTTTGAACCTAAACATACGCAGTTTTCACAGAATCCCAATAATATAGAATTCTTTGTGAAGTTAAGCCATTCTATACACTTTATATCACTAGTAGCGCTTGTATCTAATGGAATGGGCTCTCTTTGCAACTTGTTACTGTTTCTATCCCACTTTTTATTGGTCATTTTTGTTTTGTCATGTAATGACTTCACACTTTAAACAGTGTTACTTTCTGCTAGAAATTGTAACTAAAATTTGTATGTACACAATAAGCCGGAATTCCGAAATTCGATCTATGGGCTAAGATATTCGAAGTTTAGTTTCTTCATGTAAACTCTATGGGCGAATTGCCAGGTATAAGTTGTTCGCGCGTTACATGTCAATCGAGTTTACAATTGCTCTCAATTTATATTGATCTCTACAGATTTTATTTTGATCTATACTGCGGGCGTTTAACACGCACGATGTCGTGACGAAATTAAATTTTCAAAACTGGCACATGATCCTGTGCATAGAATCATACCATTATATTTGTGAGTTTTTGTGTCAAGTCGAAACATAAAAATCTAAGCTGCGGAACTGTTTCCTTTTCCTAAACCTAGTTTAGTGAACTTACAAGCATTATCGAAATTATGGAATGGATTAAGCTCGGTGTAAGTTGGATGACGTGCCTCCAAGTCATGCCTTCAGAATCGAAGATCACAACGTAACCATTCACTTGCATTACGTGTTCATGCAGTAACATGTCGTAAAACATTAATGAACTTCTTAATAATTGCTTCAGGTGAACTTTACAAGGATCCCAATAACCTAAATAAAGAAAAACAAAATGAAATTTTCTGTAAATAATAATAGTAAGATGTTAAAATCCATCGATAACTTACGAGTTTTTCCGATTCCTATTACTCTCCCTTCCTGATCAGTTTGACGAAGATATCCGTATATTTTCATATCTAAAGCTTCCTTTACAGCCAAAGGATTATAATCCTTAAAGTAATCCGGATATCTTTCTCTTACGGAGTAATAATTTTTTAATAATTTAAGAGCTCTTTCTCTATCGAATTTTCTGGCTCTGAGGAAGCTCAAGAGGAATATGTCGTCCATACGACAATTTATATTCTCTTCTGTAAAATAATAATTAATATTTCAAATTTCATGGAAGTTTATTATTTCATAAGTTTAAATTGCTAAAATATTAACCTTATTAATTACTATAAGTTACGACAGATGACACGGTTACAAATTCGAGATGGGTGAATTTCACGATAGCTAACTATTGCAATACTGTTAGTCTTAACATATGAGTAATGGTAACTTATTACTACGTTTATACTCGTAAAAATTACGTAACAACGTTAAAATGCAACAGAGTTTGTCAACAGAAAAGGCTTAGTGGATTTTTTGGCGTGTAGTTGGATTCCATTGTTGACAAACATGAAACTTCTGTGTAATGCTTACATAATCTATGAAAATGCAAGCGCAAATAATGTTAGATTTTTACAAACACAAATGCTGTAATCAAACATCCAGTGTCTTGTTCAGCAACGCGAAATTTTGCTAAGATTAGTCAGTGTGAAAATAACATCAGCAATGTGATGTTAGCATTAACATTCTGCACTACTGAACGGCAACTTTGTTCATGTTACAATAACTGCACAGTATATGATTACTCTTCAATTTTTTCCTTCTTCGTTTAAGCGATTAGTTCTTGTGCTTATGTATTTAATAATTGAGATTGTTGAGAGATTTACTGAATAAAAAAAAATCGAAAATACACAATTATCTAAGTTTACAAATTAACATATTGCAATGAATAGAGTGAAACTCCTTTTGAATGTCAAGAAACGTAGCATACGACTTTACGATGGTTCTTGATCACTGTGAATTATTTCAATCAAGATAAAAATATTTATAATTGATACTTCTACATCAAAATCTTCATGTCTTCGCGCAACAAAAAAGATTTTTATCAAATGAAATCTGTTCGTAATGTCACACCATAAATTATAATAGAAATATATAGATTAAACGTCTACTTACTTTTTATCATCTCTTTGAAGCTTTGAATATCTTCATCGTTCCATGAATATTTATTGCTTTCGTTCTTTGAGTTATCGATGAATAGTCCAAGAGTCATTCCTGCAAGTTGAAAATATTAAATATATTCATTAAAATTTAAGATAAACGTTCTATTAAATGAAATTTGATTAACACTCCACCCTGTGGGCGCTAAGATATCCATTACGGGTTCGGCCAGGCCCACAATGGAGTGGACGGGAGTCGATATATCCGGTCGGACCACCCCCCCCGAAAAACTCCTGAGAATTTTTCGACCCGTTCGGATTCGATTCCGAGTCCCCAGAGCAGCAGGCTACCACCTTAACCGCTCGGCCATTCGGCTGTCATAGTAGTAGGCTGCTTACCTTAACAGCTTATCCATTTGGTTGTCAAACATAACTATTGTTATCTGTTACTAGAAACATTTTAGAATTGTAATTTGTATTTTCAGACTTTTCACACGATCCTCTCTTATCTATCGCGTAAATTCAGTCACATCGAGTGATCGTAATTAACATATCTATATTCAACACTATTTTACAGAAATAGCACTCGCAATTCAAATTAATTTTGTGTGGTGACATTACAAGAAATACGAAAGATATTTCCGTAAAAACACAAAAAGTACTAAATATTGCTGTTGTGCTTCTTTTGCTTCGAATTTTAATTTGTGATATTTGGTTATGGGGACACTATGGCTTAACGAAGACATGTTGCAAATTTGGAAGCATTAAAGACTGTATCAAATTGAGTGTGAGAAACACCGTAGAAGCTTAATTAATTATGGTCTGTCGTTGAGCACACGGTTTTAAAAAGGGGACCAGATTAAGCAGTATTCTTTGCTTCTGGTTGTGTATAGTATGAGTGTCTCGTAGAAACAAAATGTTCGTTGCTTACACACCAAAAGTTCTTTGGTGGTGAGTATAGTTACTAAATGTTTTTCTTTTTTGCAAAACACGTTAAAATGCATTACACCATATTAAATCGCATATGGACTTTACACTGCATTGAATAAGAGTATTTAATTGCAATCATCGGATATTTAATAGTATTGATATTTTACAAGTTTTAATATTTATATCCCATATAATTTCGGCCAGATTGTCAAAGCAGTTAAGGCGTCAATCCAGTACTCTAAAAAACCGGTAAATGAATTCAGGTAAGTGAAAAACCCCAGGAATTTTTCGGAGGTGGTCTGTCCCGGATACGTCTGGCGCTATGCTTCACCATCCTTCGCTTAACTGTGAGCCTGGCCGAACCCAAGATTAGATTGAAAAAGTCTGTCTTAGTGTCCTCGGGGCGAAAAAAGTAAAAAACAAAAACAAAAAGTAAAAAACAAACTGTATATATTCATATACTATAAAGTAACATCAATTACTCGTGTATATCAGCATTGGGCATCGCCCAAGCCATCAATCCAACGCACTGTTGATGCAGCAAGCTGCTGTCAACAACCTGTATAAATGTAAATATACTACTGTTAGGCTCATTGAGCGACAAAAATGTTCACAACGCGATGTGACACTTGTAAAAACAGCCACAACGCGCTGTGAACATTTTTTTTTCGCTCAAAGAGCGTTTTCGATCTCTGAGCTTAACACTACTATGTTTTTGATATTGTTCACTTTCAACTAGAAACTCTAGTTTGTATAAATACTTATTAGCATTAATTCATTACTGTAAATTTTATGTAATATCTGTATTTAAGCCTCAGTTATGCGAAGCGGAACTGAGAATGTACAGTACAAATTTTGTACTATAGGCTAAATCTATATATACCTCTATAACGAGATGTCTACTGTAGTGTATCATGTATTTATTCACGTTGAAATTAAATCGTTATTGTTTGTTAATCTGGGATCTGAGTGATTCAGTTCCGGTAACGCTGTCTCTCATTTCATCTCGGATCTGATCACCTGTATATGCGGCAGCTCGCGTGACCGAATCAACACGCCTCTCAGCTTCCTTGTCACCCGGGACACGGTGGTGTCAGTCCTGAAGACGCACTAAAAAGGCGCTGACCCTCCGGTAACATTCGAAATCAAATACTATCCAACACGAAAACTAAGTTACTATCCAGTAATACCTTGTACGATAAGTATCAGGTGAAGTGGGCATTAAGTCGTATAAACTTATATGAAAAAGCGTTGTGTTCGTTAAGTTATGGCAACGCAACACTTAGGCGATCTTTTTAAGGGAAACTTAGGGGTTAGAGATATGGAGAAAATCCACGTGACCAGCGAGGCGCGAAACCACGACCAAACTTCCAGTGTTCAGGGTACGAAGAGTGCTTGGCCACTGGTGGGCACAAAGAGTTGTAAGTACAAACTTCCTTAGGCTCTTGAACACTTAAAATCGCTATCGATTAGCAGTGATTAAAAGAACACTTTTAATATCTTTATTATCTACGTTATCATTTTCCATACTCTTTGTTCTTATCACGAGCCTTGACACATATAGTTTAAATTTCATCGTCGCTAGATTAAATATTAATTTATATTATTTTCTAAGGTGTTTCCATTATATTTTCTATCGTTAGAAACTATATAATTTAACTGTGATCGTTTAAACTAGAAATTTTCATACACTAAGGGTGCGACTATGCAGACACGAAGTTAGAGCGAGCGAGAGGTTGCGAGCGATTTAGTTTTCGCAAAGGAAAACCATGCACAAACGAGAAGCGAGAAATAACGCTAGCGAGAGCGAATTTCTGGTTTTCGCACATATCTGACAGGTTCTGATATTTATCGCTTCTCGTCTCTTCTCGCCACATATTCTCGCTCGCTCGCGTCTGCATAGTCGCACCCTAATTCGAGCCCACGAGTGACCGAATAGATAAAATCCCTGCGAACTATCAGTTGGTGACAGGTTCGCGCCTCCCCAACAGATTTGTCGTGCAGTTTCCAAGTTTTATTCATGTGTGTAACGTAAATAGGATCCCGTTATCCACGAAAAATCTCCTCGGAAGGCTCACATGTTTCATCACAATATCCCAACATCAAAAGTAATTTTCGTTATTTTAAAATATATAACTTATTTCGCTAACTATTTATGAAAGAATAATTATTATTATAAGTGTTAGATCTTTACGGATAGACAAATATTTTATATACTACAGAGTACGGCAATCACTTATGAAGTTACATATATACTGTAGACAAGTTTGTTAATTTTTATATTAATTACTCGGTAAATCTTGATGTGTGATTTAATAAAAGAGTTAGTTACAAAGAATAAATTACTTACTCGTTTCTGCGTTGAATGTTCTAATGATTATCTGTAATTGAGGATAAACATTTCATTTTATCAAATAAAGCTTGAAACGATTATCAGCGCGACGTTCAAAGTATAATTTAAAAATAAATTTAGTTATGATTATTAATAAACGTAATTACTTTCTGCTAAATGTATAAATAAGTATAATGCAGTAATAATTGCCTTTATACTCTGTCCGCTCGTGAAAGGTATTTCAGGAATTATAATGAAGTCGAGTGGAAGAAATTCATTTTCACAAATTGGGGTGTTCGAGATACAAAGCAGAGTAAAGTCAAAGACTGCGTAATTAATTTATCTGTTTTTTTATGATTAGATTAGACTATAAACTAAGATGAATATGGAATTAAAGCGTACATAAAACAATAATTTAGGTCTTTGATCTACGAGGTTATCTGAGCTCGTTTCTGATAGGGTGTCCCGGGAAACAGATCACTTCTTTTTTCGAAATCCCGATACAAGCAAAGGACCTGGAAATGAGAAACCATACAGTAGTTTCTGATGATATTCAAGTGTATGAGTTTGAATGTACAATATGTTAACTATAAGTTGGGATGTTTATTATACTTGTATATAAACAATCGATTCTTGAATTGAATATAGAGGTCGATGGAAGAAGCATACTTAAACATTAGGATGACATGATTTGAGAGCATTTAGTCTAGATTGGGCCGCATGCTTCCCAGACATCACTCCGATGAAAAACATCAAGGAAATATTCGTGAGGAAAGTATAGAAAGATAATCATTCTTTTACATCTATTAAACACCTAAAAACGCGATTCTGCAAACGTAGGAAGTAGTGTGGGTGGAGACCTTTATGTAACTGTAAAGGATCAGTTTATGATTGAAATAAGCAAACAGTTTGATATTACTTACGGTACATAACTTGTTTACCATTTTAATTCTGTTATTGACAATTAGTTATCGGCTATTTAGTATGCCTAGTCGGCTTGTAATGAACATTTTACAAAGCTGTTTACATTTATATTAGAGCATTGTATTGTAAATTAACAAGATTATGTAGCAAAGAAGAGTGATAATTATTTAATTTAATATTCCATTCTTTTATTTAAATAAAAAATTTGTCTTCTGTGAACAATTTCTATATAACGAAGTGTAATCTTGTTGTCGAAGTATGCTTCTTTCTATGGAATTCCTACTATATATTCAATTAAAGAATCGATTGTTTATATACAAGTATAATGAGCACTTCAACTTGTATAGTTAATGTATAGTTTACTACATTAAAAATTCATATACTTGTAGCATATTAGTATATAATAAGAAGTACACATAGATAACCATTCTTTTACATCAATTGAACATCTTAAACATGCGATTCTTCAGGGTTAGAAAAAAGTGGGTGTGAAAATCTTACAAAATCTTGTTCACAGCATGTCAAACAGAATATTTCATTTAATAAATAAAAACGTATGCCTAACTAATTAATATTACCAGTTTTATAATTGTTTTTATGTTGAAAATAGACTTAGAGTGTTTATATTTATGTCAACTACTATAGTGTCTGCTCAGTATGTACTACTGTGTAGAATAATTCCAGAACAGAACAACGTTAATTTCCTTTCGAAGTAGTCGAACATCCCGCAGGAAAACTTAATTAAGGATACTTTAAGGAGAGTTACTTAAAGTATCCTTAAGGAATTTTTCTATTAATTACGAGCTAAACAAAAATGAATTACTGATACTTACTCGTTCAGTGGTTAATGTGGTAATGATTATCTATAATTAACAATTAACATTTTATTTATCGAATAAACAGTGTTATTGGTGAAAGTTATCAGTAAAGTGTTATTGGTACAACGTTCAAAGTACAATTTAAGCACTGATTATTATTAAATGTAGTTCCATGTGGTTACCTCTCTTGGTAACCACATGGAAAAAAGAGTTATAACGGACAGTTGTGTTGCATAAAATACATATACAACAATCCCTAGGTTGTGTAAACTGTGTTTTATTATAACATCAATTTATACAATTTCTAAATACAAAGAGTGTATAAAAAATATCACAAAATTAATTCGTATTTTGTTCTTAAATTTACTTATTCTGTGGCGCTCTCCTGCTAATTTAAATGAGGTGAATTACAAAAAGAAACAAAGTATATGTGACAAGAATAAATCTCTTGTAAATGTGCAAGTCTTTCTTAAAAGTGTCCTTCGGCTCTCTTCTTCTATACGAGTCTTGTGCGGATTGTGTGCTGCAAGGGTATTTTATAACTTATCTTTCTAGAGAATTTTCCTTGTAAGCTCGTACATACCTCCAAATTTCTCGAAGAGATGTATTTGGATCAGTATCTAATATGTCTAACAAGGAATTCTAGTCACTAACACGGACTTATCGGGATAGAATCGAGAAGAATGTCCACACCAAACTTCTGTTCCTGGCCTGTTAGAAGAAACAATTTTCGTACGTGTTAATCCAGAGATTCGAATAAAGATATAAATGAATAAAATAAGTACGACACAAAGAAACCTCACCTAACATTAAAATGAATTTACATTAAACTTAAATATTAAAATTTACGGTAAAATTTAAATAAATTGTAATTGTTCTCATTATTAAAAGAGAAAAACCTCAATATTACATGATGAAATTGTTTGTAAATTTTAAAATATGGTTATCTGAAGAACGATTGGTTGAAATGTAAAAAGAAACCCCTCCTACTTCTCATTTATCATCCAATTGTCGTTTACGTAACAAGATATTCGTTCAACTCTTTTTCGTCGTTTATCGCGTATATCAAGCAGAAGACCATGAATGTTTCTGTGTTGTGTACGTGTGTTGTAATCTTTTAATTAACATGGCAGCGATTTGAACCGATATAAATTAGTAAATTGTTACTATTAACTTTTTAAACACTAAATTTTATATATNTGCTACTTTTAATTTAAACAATAAATAATTAATATATTTATTATATAAAGAAGTTTTTTATGTTTACTCATTCAATTAAATGTCTACAAATTTTACATAAATTTAAAAAGTTTTCTAGTGAATCAGTTATAAATCAATGATGATTACAATACTTTATCGTGTATTTTTTTTTAGAGAGAGAGAGAGAGAGAAATGCGCTGCTTAAGGCAATTTCCATTAAAAAATTATTAAATTACATAACGTTTTTCTATGTTACATCGAAAAAACTAGCCAGTTTTCCTCATTGCAGCTACCTACAGGAAGGAAAGTCATATTAACCTTAGGACAAAACAAAAAGTATCGACGTCCTTTACACGTATTTGGAAATAAAATAAAAATTAAAATGCATTCATTAGTGAAAATTAATGATAAAATGTATTATCCTTCCTTTTTTTTTGGTTATAAAAAAATATAATTTATAACCAAATATTGTAATGTTCTATAAAGTACTTCCAATTAGCGAGTAATTTTGTATTTATTCATTATAAGGAAGTGTACGACGTGTATTTACATAAATACATTAATAATTAAACATTAATTAATTCAAAATATTTATAATGAACCTATTCACGTTTTTTCAATACGAATAAACTACAATACTTTAATTTTCAGTCGTATCTAAGATTTTCTCTTGCGATCATTCAAGATCCTACGAATTCTTTATTGCAAGTATCAAGTATTCTGACTGTTTCGTGGGTGTTCCTTGTCCTACTTACTCCCAATTCATTAGTGGAAAGTGCATCTGTACCAAAGACGATCCTTGCTTGCCCATGGGTCTAGATGCTGATAAATATAATCTACTGAGAAGAAATTCTTCTCGCGTGTTGTATTTAGTTACTGATGACAAGTATCCTTACTGTGGTGAGTAGCAACGATTAATACGGACATTCTGTAGCATACTTTGTTAATTTTAAATGCGGGTTTACTTCGAAATAATGAAAATCTATGAATTAACTAATTTCGACTGAAGTGTAGACTTTTTTCTTTTTACCATAGTATACTATTTACTGCTTGAATATACTATAATTTTAGCATTTCAGTATCAAATTCTGTTGGTGTTGGAAGGATTTTCTGGAAAAATATTCAAATTTGGGCAATTTCGTCTTAGCTTCCGAGACGAGAAAGGAAGAGAAGAGTCTACAATAATACTAAACAGGTGTGTTTACAATACAGTCGACCCCCTATAACACTGTTGAATATTCCGTTTTATATGAATTCCATGTTGTACGAGTCACTTAGATTTTACAAATACGTGTGCCGGGCTGTGAATGGCTCACATAATTGTAAAATCTAAATGACTCGTACAACATTGAATTCATATAAAACGGAATAATCAACAGTGTTATAGGATATTACATTTTAAAATTCCATAATTTTATTATTCAATGATCTAATAGATGATTTATTAAATTAAAATAGCCATTTAATTTTATCCCTTAAATTTTTATAAATAGGTCATAAAACATTGTGTAACAAGAAAATAAAATAGTGATCAGTCAACTAGTTTAATAAGAAAATAAATTGTATTATAATATTATTTGAATTTTATCAATTAATTCAGTTATTTATGATTAAAAATTACAAATAAATCTTTTATTTTTTAAGTGTATTTATTAGGAAATCGGTCAGGTGTTTAGTTTAGTTTTCAGTTTGGAGCCTCTACCTCCTCACCCCCTCGACCTTTAACCACCAAAATTTAATAGCGTTGAAGCTCCTAATACACAAATCTTCCTGCAAAATTTCAGAAATTTAGATTTACATAGAAATTTTAGAAAACTGAAGTAATTGTTGTAGTAACACTTCTGGAAATGTATGGATATTTGTATGGGTGTGGGAGCACGATTTTCTTCACCATATTTGTAGCTTAATAACTCCTGTAGTTTTTATCTAAAATTTCTGAAATTTTGCAGGAAGATTTGTGTATTAGGAGCTTCAACGCTATTAAATTTTGGTGGTTAAAGGTCGAGGGGGTGAGGAGGTAGAGGCTCCAAACTGAAAACTAAACTAAACACCTGACCGATTTCCTAATAAATACACTTAAAAAATAAAAGATTTATTTGTAATTTTTAATCATAAATAACTGAATTAATTGATAAAATTCAAATAATATTATAATACAATTTATTTTCTTATTAAACTAGTTGACTGATCACTATTTTATTTTCTTGTTACACAATGTTTTATGACCTATTTATAAAAATTTAAGGGATAAAATTAAATGGCTATTTTAATTTAATAAATCATCTATTAGATCATTGAATAATAAAATTATGGAATTTTAAAATGTAATATCCTATAACACTGTTGATTATTCCGTTTTATATGAATTCAATGTTGTACGAGTCATTTAGATTTTACAATTATGTGAGCCATTCACAGCCCGGCACACGTATTTGTAAAATCTAAGTGACTCGTACAACATGGAATTCATATAAAACGGAATATTCAACAGTGTTATAGGGGGTCGACTGTATTGTAAACACACCTGTTTAGTATTATTGTAGACTCTTCTCTTCCTTTCTCGTCTCGGAAGCTAAGACGAAATTGCCCAAATTTGAATATTTTTCCAGAAAATCCTTCCAACACCAACAGAATTTGATACTGAAATGCTAAAATTATAGTATATTCAAGCAGTAAATAGTATACTATGGTAAAAAGAAAAAAGTCTACACTTCAGTCGAAATTAGTTAATTCATAGATTTTCATTATTTCGAAGTAAACCCGCATTTAAAATTAACAAAGTATGCTACAGAATGTCCGTATTAATCGTTGCTACTCACCACAGTAAGGATACTTGTCATCAGTAACTAAATACAACACGCGAGAAGAATTTCTTCTCAGTAGATTATATTTATCAGCATCTAGACCCATGGGCAAGCAAGGATCGTCTTTGGTACAGATGCACTTTCCACTAATGAATTGGGAGTAAGTAGGACAAGGAACACCCACGAAACAGTCAGAATACTTGATACTTGCAATAAAGAATTCGTAGGATCTTGAATGATCGCAAGAGAAAATCTTAGATACGACTGAAAATTAAAGTATTGTAGTTTATTCGTATTGAAAAAACGTGAATAGGTTCATTATAAATATTTTGAATTAATTAATGTTTAATTATTAATGTATTTATGTAAATACACGTCGTACACTTCCTTATAATGAATAAATACAAAATTACTCGCTAATTGGAAGTACTTTATAGAACATTACAATATTTGGTTATAAATTATATTTTTTTATAACCAAAAAAAAAGGAAGGATAATACATTTTATCATTAATTTTCACTAATGAATGCATTTTAATTTTTATTTTATTTCCAAATACGTGTAAAGGACGTCGATACTTTTTGTTTTGTCCTAAGGTTAATATGACTTTCCTTCCTGTAGGTAGCTGCAATGAGGAAAACTGGCTAGTTTTTTCGATGTAACATAGAAAAACGTTATGTAATTTAATAATTTTTTAATGGAAATTGCCTTAAGCAGCGCATTTCTCTCTCTCTCTCTCTCTAAAAAAAAATACACGATAAAGTATTGTAATCATCATTGATTTATAACTGATTCACTAGAAAACTTTTTAAATTTATGTAAAATTTGTAGACATTTAATTGAATGAGTAAACATAAAAAACTTCTTTATATAATAAATATATTAATTATTTATTGTTTAAATTAAAAGTAGCATTTGTGAAGTGTTATATATTTTTTGTAAAGTTTTTTACTTATACAGAACAATTACGTTGAATCCATTTATCATTGCTCCGAAGAAGGAAATTTATTGTGTTTTGTATCAATTATATTCTATTTCGAGGGGTGAGAAATGCTACAAATTGCAATTCATAGGTTGTAATTCAACGTTGCAGTCCATTAATTCTAACTATTATTCATGTAACTCTTTATAAATGCATACAATGGTTATATGGAATGTTTGATAAACAGCTGATCTAATTAACATTATTGTATTGGTAAACTTGTAGAAAAATCTACTAAATTATCAGTAAATTTCACCTACGATCGTATAGAGTTATTGCCGTTTTCTTTTCGGAAATTGTTTTGCATCCCGGATTACGGTTACCACTGTTTGGAAAGAAATCCACTCCACCAATTGCCTCGTCCGTTCCAAAACCTTAAAAAAAATAATTTTAGGATGATTAATTTGACTTCAACACAGTCTAATTACATACTAAGATGCATTCTTGAATGTTATAACCATGCGATAAAACACCAACAAGCATTACAAAATGGTACCATTTGCATCCCTTATACTGGTTGCTGGTACCCCTGCACTGGCTTTGCTTTGTGTAAATGAAGTAATTTAAGTTACATTCGATAAAAATTAGTACTTAAAAGAGACATCGTGTGAAAATCGGTGACCCAAATCGAACCCGTCATCCAGGAGGAAGATGGACATGAATGACACTTTTAAGGTGCAAAGAACGAGCAGAAAGGGTGATATTTAAAAAAAAAGTAGACCAGAAACTAAAAATAGGGAATATTGTAATTCTTAAAGGAAAATGTCGAGAAGATTTTAATAATATTCTAACATCTAAAAATAAATACGTTCGGGCGAAGAGTAGAAGTTAAAAATATAACGTTCTATTAATTAAATCTGAAATTCTACCTTAAAAATAGTGACTTAGAATTAAAATTATGTTTAAGTGATTTTATTTTAAATATTTTCTAATATTATTCATTATTATAACATGGCAAAAAAGTTTAATTTTGAAGGTAATGATGAGTTTTATTCAGTAAACAAAACTAGAAATGTAACTCCTGACAATTAAAAACTTTAAATTAAACTTTATTTCTGCATCCTGCTGATAAATCTTTAATATTTAATAATGTTAAATTTATTTAAATTAACGATAATGATTGTAAAAAAAAATATATATATCGACAAATTTCTTACCTTGAAGAATGGTCTTTCCAGCATTGGAATGTATCACATCGACAAATATGGCGTCCGAAGCATCCAATCGAACTTCTGGAGAAACTTCTTGAAAATATGGACCGGCAGGATCCAAACCTATAGAGATGTCGATGTTAAACGATGAATATAGGAAAAGAATACATAATATGTCATTTATTTTTGCCTGTTATTCTTCCTAGGTTTTTCAATGCTTTTCCTACGTAACCTCCAGCATGAGCTCCTAGACTATGTCCTATGATGTGAAAAGTTTCTAACTTGATGTTCTTCAGTTCCTACAAACAAGAAACTTGTTAGATTTTGAGAATTGTATTCAGGAATAAAAATTGTTCCCCTAAATTCGATAGTCTGTGGATGCGTTCATAATCATTAATTGATATGGAGATTGAAGTTTCCTTTAATCCTATTACCTGTAGTTTCTTCAGGAGGAAGATTATTTCGGCTCCAACTACTCTGATGTTAGCAGTCGCCTGTCCGTAAGGAAATATGGCTCCAAGAGGCCAATCCACGAAAATGACGTTGCATTTGCCAATGGAAAAGAAAGCGTGCTTCATTCTCTATGGAAACAGTTTCGTGTAAGCCATGAAAGACATAGAATTAGTTGTAGAAAGTAATCTAGTGTACTGTACCTTCATCCAAGTTCCGAGGAAAGAAGAATCTATAAATCCATGCACGATCATTTTAGTGGGCCATTCGGGATTAAAAGAAGATTTCAGGATGGTTTCGGGATGATCAGCAACGAGAATCTCTTTTTTCCAAGGATCAAAACTTGTGTAGAGAGTGAACTTAGTCTTGATGAAATTTCTGTTCTTGGGCAAGAAACTAAACGGCCGATTGATTGGATGGAAGAAGGGAGGTCCTGTATTGAAGCATCCTAAATTCTTCATGCAAGTTGTGGTGTGCCCTACGACCGCTAAAAAAATCATTTTAAGACAACTTATTATTTAATTTTTAAAAGTACGAGTCTAAATATAAAAAACTAATCTTATTTACAACCAAATTGTTTGTTTGTCATTTTCCGATATTTACGTCGCTCCATATACAACATTCCAGTGTTTGACATATAAATTAATCACGAAAGAAAGTAAATCAACCTTAATAATTCCTTCCGAGAGCCGACATACTCTATAACCTCTAGTATACAATTAATAATAAATGCTAATTATTAAAATATACAGGCCTAGTTTATTCTCATACTTTCACTGATCAAGTCTAGTTTTTATGTTCTTCGTCACTAATATCAGCTTAATGAGGGTCACATAATGCACGAGACAGAAAATAGGAGAATACAATTAAAAACCCCGGGATAGTTTAATTAAAAATTATTAAATAATTAGTTATGAGTAACTCGTGGATGAAGGGGTTTTATATACAGGCAAATCTTGTATAACACGATACTTACGTTCGATTTATATAAATTCTTACGTGCAAAGCCATATTGCAAGTGTACTGTGTTATACAGGTTATCTGCATATATAATAGCATAATAATTCTATTTTATTGAAGAACAGATTTTAAATTATAACAAATTTAATTATTAAATTTACGACTATCATATACAAGCCCATAATCACTACTTCACCATCAAGTAGTTTTACGTCTATTTATTTTCATTCAGCTAAAAATTAGTGTAGAAATTACGTAAGAAACTGATGTGACTTAACTTATCAATACGAATATTCCAAAATTTAGTTACCTTAATTTTTTTTATATACGTTCATAGAGCGAACTAAACATACATTTTGGATATAGGCCCAATGCTTTTTAAAATCTACTTACTCGAACATTTAATTCAAACAACAATTTATCTTACCCTTTGTGCATCTTATAAAGAGAACAGGTAAGTGAAGAAAAATACCTACAGGTTACGTGTATGCCGGGTTTTCCTTTAACAATGTAACGGAATAGACACGCGGACGGACGAAATGTCAACAGTAGGATCAGCAAACCCGTTCTGAAAGTCATATCTGGCGCTTGACTTATCACTTTCCCTTTTCGATTAGTAACTGCACTTTTTAACACTGGCGTTGACATAGTTTGTTAGCCCACTTTCTATTCGCTTCTGTTTCTGAACGGGCGTGAATTGGGAACACATACAGGCCTTATTATAACTAAATACATTCCTATTTTCATTTTAGTAATGCGGATCTTCATATGTTATTCTTATTAAAGGAGCTTGGATAATCAGAAATGGTAACACTAATAGTAGATATTTTTTATTTATTAACTTAAAATTATAATAATTATTAAAGTAATTTTATAGATTAATTCGTAAACAAAATTAATTTAAATTAGGAAGGCTTCTATACCTCCTTACAGAAAATTGAATTGAGAGAATTGTTAGAGATTAATTAAGTACAGTGGTTTTACCTATCAATATCTCCTTTAATTAATATAGGAAGAAATAATTGCGTGTGGCATTTAAGGAGGGTGAGGAAAAAAACCAGTAAATTCAGATTCTTAAGTGCCTTACTACAATGCAATTCAGATAAAGACAGTTCTTTCTGGCCTTACTCTGCCAATATGTTTCTTGAGTGTTTTCATGATATATCCTTCATCTAATGATGAGTGATATGCTGTACCAAAGTGAATCCGGGATGAAATCAAAGATTTCTCGTGTATGGTATGAGAAAATAATTGAATCCTTTCGAATCATGTAATTATGTTGAAAAATTAATATGTATTTTCATTAATTGTTAAAGCTGATTACACTACATATTCCAAAATTAATTTTTAAAAATATAGATGTTATTTAACAACTATACAGTGTATAATTAATATAGAAGAATATAATAGTGAATAAAACTTTACTTCAGTTCTATTGCAACAACTTCCCGAAAGGTATTAAATATAGAACATGAAATTTTTAGAGGGAATGTTTAAATGGATTTACTTAAATGTAATGAAGAAAATAACCGGAAACGATCGGAAAATAAGAAAAAGTACACAAATTCGTTCATTTATATGGTAATAACTCTCGTCATGGCCCTCACGATATCGAGACGTTCACTAAAAATGGCAGAAATTCCACCGAGAAAAAGAACTTTTATAGGCCAGACTGTACGGGTCACTGACGTGGGTATGCGTGCTTTGTCATACAAAGCACGCACACCACGAAACTCTTACACGATCCTGTTTTTTTACCAAGTTTGACGAAGGTCTACAGAGCTCGATTCTTAAGCGTTTGCGCTGAGAATTCGTCAAAAGACGTGGTAAATTTTGAATCCTCGGGTCGTTCTAGTCGAAATCAGGCATAAGCACGCGTAGTTCAATGATGTGTGGTGATAGGAGTGTGTGGAAACGCACGTGACTAATCCCAAGAAATCGAAGAATCGGTTAGAAAACGAATTATAAAAGCCCAAGTTTCCTTGAGACACTATTTGACTACAAATTACGTATTTCCAGTTACACCGTAGGTCAAGATCATTGTAAAATTTCTACAGTAATTTACGTAATGTTTGTTAAATCAAATTTTATACAGGTATTGGCGGTTCGTTTACCGTTTACATTTTATGGCCTTCAGTTAGATCATATTCTTGCGGTCTGTATATTAAATTAAAACGTTTAGTAGTCAATAAAATAAAAATCATTTTTGGCCGAAAAAATTAACAAATAGATCTGATAAATTTGAGTCTAATCTGATGAATAGTTTTATTAAAATTCGTTAAAATTCAACGTTTTAAACCTTTTTCCCCGTATCATTGTCACATTCTGACGAAGCTGCCATCAAAATGTCTACGGTAATGCTTTGTCCTCCTCCTCGAAAATTTTTCCCCCAGACACGAGCAGATTTTTAGAAATTCGTCAAGTATCATTAATATATTCCTTTGTCTATGGAAATATTCTGAAAATAAACTTTGAATTATTCGATTTAACAAGTCTAAGTGTTGACGACTGTTGAGAATTTCAATTACAGTAGACCCCTATAACACTGTAGATAATTCCATGTTATATGAATTCCATATTGTACGAGTCACTTGGAGTTTACAAATACGTGAGCCGTTCACAGCCTGGCACACGTATAGGGGGTCTACTGTATATTGCAGGGTCGTGCCGTGACATTTAATGATAGGGAAGCTGTGTTTTTGTAACAAGCCGACTTCCAGGGGCAATCAATTAATTGCTTGTCAGTGATGGTCTAGTGTCCATTCGTACGCGAGTGGTGGCGGACGAGACAAAGATGACAAGTATCTAACAAAAACCGTTTATTTTAACATAAAACAAACTTACACTATGTACAAAATCAGCGACAATCAGCTGTTCTGACGTCCTGGGCGTCGACGAGGTTTTTTATCGTCTATCGAAGATGGCCTCGGGGCAGTGGTGTTGACAAGTCCGAAAGACAGGTGGGGAGGGAGACTTCGCCTGTTGGTGTCGGCGACACGGTCTAAGTCTAAGCGGCAGGGTTACGAGTTGGCAAAATAGAAGAGAAATTGCTTTTTTTTGCGCGTTAATACATGGCGTTTTGGTTATTCAGAACATTAATTAACTAACCGAGTGCCAGTTGTCCTCGATTGTTGGGGATATCAATCTCCATTCTTTTTTTCGTTCATTTTGATTGGTCATTCTTCCTCAATCACGCTTCCCGAGTTGCTGGTCCCTCGTTTCTAAGCGTAAAGTTCTTTTTCTATCGAAAGCAAGGCTAGTGACGACAATCTTTCCTCGGACTGAGTGTTCCTTGCGAATGTATGAATTCACTTTATGGTTGAAAAACTGCGCTCAACAGACTCACTCGTAGATGGTATTGTAAAAATTAATGATATTAAATCATATAATTCTTTTTAGTACATCTTTGTTTAGTTCGTCATTAATCATAATATTTTTTATGTCTAAGAGCGACTTGCCAATATACTGGTAGTCCGGACACGAATATAAATATTGCAATTCGCTACGTAATTTAGATAAATCAAAAAATTCTCCATAAAATTTATGTAAAGAATNGATTTGAACCGATATAAATTAGTAAATTGTTACTATTAACTTTTTAAACACTAAATTTTATATATTTATTTAAAAAAAACAAATACTTGGGCTCACCTTCCTTGATAAACAGTGATGGGTGTGAAACGTAAATATTTGATTCTATAAAATTCTTTTTCCTGGTGTTCCAAAAATTGCACAATTTTCAGTTTGGTCTGGTGCCACGTTAAAAATACCTCTTTGATAGGACCCAAATGTTTCGAACTTTTCATTAGAAATGTATAAGGAACGTCTTGTTTATAGAACACGTCTCTGTAAATATGTAAATAAATTTTAATTAATGTTTGTCGTTATTTTCTTTTCTTCTGTCTCCACTATAGCCACAAAGAAGACAAAATGACTATTCCTAAGGATTTTTACAGGATATGTATAGTATTTTATTGTTACTGACCTAGATATAACTTATAATTCTAATAATAATTTGTATTAATATGCAAGTATTTGTACTTTTAGGATTTATTGTAATGGTCACCATAGACTCTGATTTTTCGTCTTATACAATTGAAAAAGGCGAGTAAGGCTGAAATGCATTTTGGAAAGGTTAATTAAATACGCTGGGAGTATAATAAGCCTATTTATCAGTCCTAACTATATTTTGTAATTAATTAATACAGGTAATATATTGCAGTATGTAGGCCTATATTTAATATATTTAAGAAATTGTTACTATATTTTGTAATAATAATTTAACTCTGCTCTTGTGAAGAACTGTTCACATTGCTACATTTATCAATTTTCTTTGTGGTATACGAAACACAATAATTTAAAAAGGGAGGAAGTGTTTAAAAACAGGTAAATTGTAAAATTTACACTTCACTGATTTTATGTATCTAAATGCATATCCTGTAAGTAATTTCTTTGTTTCCTCTGCATTTTTTATGTAATTTTTTTTCGAAAATTATCTAAAAAAGCCGAGAATTTTCTATACTTTCACACACAACATATAAAAGAATATTGTAGTAACAGTTTCAAAACACCAGTTGAAAGGAAAAATAGTTTCATTTTATATTCTTTATACAATGTTCAATGAGAAAA